TCATCAGTTGTCTCACTCGTTTAAGTGCTCTCTTGTCTGACCTCTCGCCAAAGGACCACATTGATTGTTTGTCTCTCGCTGAGCATGGGGAAAACCTGATTCCGAACGTCTTTGACAGTTCCTTTTTTTTTTAGTCACGTCAGTTGGCACGCACACTTCTATTACCGAAGCCGTCCAAGGAATTCCTCGCTGACTCATCGCGAATTCCGCCTTTGAGCAAGTTGAAGGTATTGTACAAGAAGAGGGAGGGCAACCCTCTCTTTCAGCAGGAGGACTCATCCATAAATCCGTAATAGTGCTAATTTTGCGGCTTGACTGAACATGGCGAGTGCGCTGTGTAGAGGGCTATGTTTGGAGGAATGCATGACTCTGCCTCTTGTGGAGATCTGCAGTTTCCTGAGAAGCTGCCATCGAAAGCTCCGTTTACACTTGACAGGAGTCTACAGGTCTCACCAAAGGTGTGACGTGTAATTTAACAGGATTTGGATGAAAAGGAACTATCGAAAGTGCAGAATGCTCCTCCCAAGCCGTATAGCGCCGCACAGAACAATAAGTGACTGCACAAAGAACTAACTTCTCTCGTGCTCATGGTGGCCGGGCACGGCTCCTTGCCCAATAGCCAGCGACGGTTCATCTGAATAATTGAAAGTTGTAGAAAGATACTAAATCTAATTAAAAATGAAGAGAGCACATACCATTGCAGTAGTCGCGATGGTTGCAGGTCATGCAATGTGCTGATGAAATGGCGTACGGAAGAGCGGCACAGTTCAAAGCGCAACCCTTCATTGTCACTGAAATTCCTTAGATTTGAACCCTTTCAAGTATTTCTTACGCTCTGAGGTGAGTAGTGGTGACTACATGGTCTTGCACGGTCCTATCTTAATCAGCCGAATCACCAATTGGAAAGGACCGTGGAGTTATTTTCTGGCAGCAGCGGGTGGTTTCAGATTTATGGACTAGAGCTCTCACCTGTGCCCTGATTTCTGATAGTGTAGCATTGTGTACGAGGAGGGCACTCTTCATGCAGTTCATTTGCACACGAAATGTAATTGTTGCACATTTTGCACATCAAAGCCGAACCTGAATAGGATTGACGGAACTGTCTTCATGGTAATAAATATGTAGTTTTTGCTTATTTTCTAGAAAAACCTACAAACACAAAGGTTCTGCGTGATACCGTGGACTGGGACCTCGTGCACCCTCGTAATATCTTACCTTTCAGCGTTCAAAATTTTCCGACGACTAGCGAAGCACGCGATACCCTCCTTTTGTGAGTAATCTAAATTCGCAACCTCCAAAAAATTGACCTCTTCGGGGGTAGGAAGTGCGCACTGGGAGGGTTGCAAGCTTCTCGCCAGGGCTATGGTCCCCAGCCCAAGTTGCCCTGTCGTCGGGACAATGACTCTACTCTCTCGCTCACCATTTTCAGTGTGCTCCCGCGCCCTTCTCTGTGAGCTTTCTTGCCTTGCAGTTGATCTTGGACATCCTATCTCCTCTGTCACCTCCATCTAGCATCTGAACCCTACTGCCTACGAACTGCGATCGCGGGAAGCGTCTTGAGAATAGCTATTCATCATCTTGAAATTAGCTATTCATGAAAATGAAGAATCACACGAGGTGTCGAAGCAGGTTTCAAGGTGCGGTGCGTACTTCGATCATGTGGGCGGAGTCCGACATACCACTGAAGGAGACATCAATTTCCAATCCGCGCATTCTTGCTAATTTTCGTGAAATGCTCAATATTATTTTGGCCTATTGCAAAAATGGTCTACTACCACCGCATTTGAGCTTCTCCACTTCAGTAGCAAGCTTCCTTTCCTCCATGACAATGTTTGCACTATTGTTCAATTCTCTCAGAAACTGTAATGTTCCTGTCCGTTGGGGCTGCATTTATACTTTGCGCAGCGTTAGCGCGCAACGTACGCTAGCGTTTCCAGCGTTCGGCAGCGGCAGTGGCAAGGGAAGGATCAGAGTATTCTAGCGTTACGCTGGCGTACGCTAGCGTAGCGAAGGCAAGGAAGAGCATAGGTATCTGTCTAGCATTTTCAGGTATATATTTATCGCCAAATGGTCGACTCTGCTCTACCTCCTGAGGGTAAACAAGTCGAGGGCTGCTACTTCCCTTTCACTACGCGCCCACTTGCTTTTCGCGAATTTCTCGATATTTTTCAGATTTTGGCATTTTTGGACTGTCGGACTGTGACGTGAAGACGGCACCATTGTGAGAGGCTCTCCGCTCCTTCGAAGAAAGCCTCGCTCGGGCTGCTACGTGAAGCCCCACCGACTGTTGAACCGCTCACTTCGAAGAAGCCCGCCCACTTTTCAAAAATGGTGCAAATCGCAGTATAGAGTCTCGGCTTTCATGCTAGGGTCTCGTTCGTCACTCGGAACAAGAAAATCAGGCAAAGTTCGTTCCGGATGATCAGCAGTACCCTAGCATGCAAGCCAAGGCTCTATACTGCCGATTTGCACCATTTTAAAAAGTGGGCGGGGCTTCTTCAAAGTGGGCAGAGCCTCTCACAGTGGGTGGGGGCGTTCACGGCGTAGCAGTCCGAAAATCGCAAAATCTCCAAAAAATATCAATTCGCGTAAAGCAAGTGGCGTTTTCGTAGGAGCGGAACTGTGAGTTGGCTAAAGAGCGTGTAGAGAATGGGCGAGTAGTCGGCCATGTATCGGATACATATATTACTTGAAACGCCGACCGATAGCTATGGGCTTTCTTTGCCTCGCTACGCATAGTGTACGCCAGCGTAACCCTAGAGTAGCTGGTGACGCTAGATCGATATCCATCCTTCCTTGCCACTGCCGCTGCAGAACGATGGAAACGCTAGCGTACGCTGGCGTACGCTGCTGCAAAGTCTTAAGGCTGCGTTTATACTTTGCGGCAGCGTAGCGTAGCGCTTCCAGCGTACGCCAGCGGCAGTGCCGAAGAGAGGATGCATATCGATCTAGCTTCACCAGCGTCACCAGCGGCACGCTGGCGTACGCTAGCGGCACGCTAGCGTACGCCAGCGTTTCTCCAGCGTTTCACCAGCGTTTTGCTAGCGTTTGCAGCAGGGAGTAGAGACTAGCGGAGAGTGGAGGTACAAAAACGTCGATTGCGCGTCTCTCACTCGCCCTTAGTCTCTACAATGCACATCGCTTCTGCGTCTCCGACGGCCACATAGTCTCTACAATACACGTCGATTCCGCGTCTCTCACGGCCACATAGTCTCTACTCCCTGCCGCTGCAGCAGAAAGATTTAAAACGCACGCTGGTGCCGCTGAGAAACGCTCGAGAAACGCTGGTGAAGCTAGATCGATAGCTATGCTTCCCGTGCCCTCGCTACGCCAGCGTGCGCTAGCGTGCCGCTGGCGTACGCTAGCTACGCCAGCGTGCCGCTGGTGACGCTGGTGAAGCTAGATCGATATGCATTCTCTTCGGCACTGCCGCTGGCGTACGCTGGAAGCGCTACGCTACGCTGCCGCAAAGTATAAACGCAGCCTAACCAGGCCTCACTGCCCTTCACGCACTATTATCGTAAGGGATTCTACAGAAACCGCGCAGTGTCGGCGAGCAACGAATATAACTTAAGTGACGGATTCCGAAGGGATACAGACTTATTCACTGCGAATTCTGGGACATATCAGGGCGACTGAGTCCAGCTTGGCACTAATGTGACCTCCACCAGTTGCTGAGGAGGCGAACGGCAATAATTGGTGAGAAGCGAGCTGGCGCCTCGCCAAGCTCACATGCCATTCTGCATCGAATCAGCAGGCTGTATCTAGCTTTCCCGAAAACCGGTAAGGTGAACAGTATCGCTGAGGAGCAAAATGTCCAAAGTTTGTCGGTTCGTTCTATAATAACCTTCCTCGCGCGCACATTAATGATTCAAAAAAATTGTTTTGCATAAAGGTGAAAGCATCAAAAAAATTAGAGCTTTCTGGTTCAAGGACCAAAGGAAAGTGTCACGGCGATGGTGTAAAAGCAACTGACAAAAGAATGCGTTCACACTTTACATCGAAATGGTGGCCGGATGTAAAAACGTACTCTAGAGTAACACATTGCAGCTGTTTGAGGCTGGCTGGGAATTCGAAGGAAATTGTCAATTCGGCACATAAGGATGCCGCAGTCTCATCTAACGACCTCGTTGAGCCCAGAAAAAAGCTAAAATTACCAACAGTTGCCAGGTTTCCTAGATAGTGGAGTTGGAGACCTTTGAGAAACGCACCAAAGCGTACCATCGCAATACTTTTCCTCGGCATTATTGAATATCCAAAAGAATTCTGAGCGCTCACCTGTGGCAACAAAAGCTAGCAGAAAGACGTAGTTTGTCAGCATTGTAGCTTGTGGAAATGTTCCCTGTGCGTCTGAAATTCTCTATTCATATATAAAATTTGTTATCAGCCGCAGACCGTACGTCAAAAAATAAGTGAAAAATCAGAAAATAATGAAAAGATTCTCAAACATTCATCGACAACCCGATTTTGTTAAAAAGGTACTGGTTTCGTTAGTGTAAGAGGGTGGGCCATTGCTGCTTATGATATCATTCCCTCCTCTCCCAAACCCCCCCCCCCGCTCACCTCCCGAACAGCATAATTCACTTACTGACATTGCGAGTAGAGGGGAGACCCCGGCTGAGTTTGGCTTGATGGGGTATCTAATGGTACTCAGCGAACTTGTACGGACCACTTCGTAAGTACTTGTGATTTCCTACTACTGAAGTGGTTCACTTTCACCCTTCTTCACAGCGTCACAAGACTTGACAGGTCTCGCCTGAGTAAGTCTTCCTGTCAACACTAACTAATGAAAGTACAAAAGCCCCTCCAAGCCGAACCCTTTTGGAAATCACGAAGCCATCAAAGAGTACGAAAGGGTGCAACGGAATCTTGATTGCCGCAGGATTTATTGGTCAGGCAAAACAACCCGGTAAGCATCATAGCAAAAACTAACCCTTGCCAATACCAAGGAGTGACTAGGGTTGACTAAAAACTAAGTCAAGTAAAAGAAGAAGGGATGGAAACAGCTGGATGGAGAAGCATTCGCATGTCCTGTGATGACCCGAAAACAGGAAAAGAGCGCCAGGCAGTGGCGTGGGTGATAACCGAACGATGCTGGCGATAAGGCATTACTCATTGCTCATCTACGGAAGCGCCCACCAGTCACCACCAGTTTCACGGCTCATTGCATTCGAAAACCATCGTCGTGTCATCTGTTGTACATCTGATGAGTCACGATCGGCCTTCAGATTCCTTTGTGTTGCGGAGCTCCCGTCTAGAGGTGTTTGTTCAGTACCTCCACCGTCTCCGAACACTACTCGGGGAGGTTTTTGTCACTATCAATGTCGCTCTATGGTCTATGGTCGCTGGTGTTTCAGAGATTTATTCAGGACGTGCAGCTGATATGAAGCGTTGCTACATGGATGTATGAATATATACATGCAGCCGTATCAGCAAAGCACTTATTGGCAGGATGCCAATGGGGAACTCGTAAAAAATGCTCGCCCAATGCAGCGCCGAGCAAAGGACTTTTTTCAGAATTCTGACGGTTCAGCTTCGTTATTCGACATTTTCCCCACTATGTGACACCCTTATTGTTACTTTAGAGCAAGCATCAAATTATCGTGCCCTATGCCTCAAAAGGACTTCTGACATAGTGCTGTTCGCCGATGCGACATTTCTGAGGAGGGGAGGAGACGGGCTGGGTTTGGCGCAGCGCCAGTTAGTTCTCCACCGATTGTCGAAGCAAGCATGGGACACACGTTGGTGGAAAACTGGCCGGCGCTGTGCGATGCTCAACCTTCTGACACGCCCCAGCATCCGCAACGAACAAGACTGTACATAACCAGGATTTCCATTGGAAGTAGAGTGAATAAAACCCTGCATATCTCGGGCTGCTTAATGCAACAAATTTCAAGATCACTACCATGTGATCAATTTAGATTAATGGAAAGTAATCGTGCATCATTTCTGGCTTCCGCTATAGGTCCTCTTGTCCCCTTTCGTAAGAAGAGGCGCTTTTCGATTTGAAAAGGGCATTTTACACTCTCGCTAGTTCCCTTTGCTATGATCATGTTACCT